CTCACCCACAAAAACGGCGCATCCCACGCGATCCCCCGGGGCTTGGACTCTTTCAGAGGTCTGTCAATGCCCTCTGCAACACGGAGCAGCTGCACCTGCAGGCGGCTGTGCCGGCCGTGCCAAGCAGCTGGGGCTGGCAGCAGTGAGCGGCTGCTGCGTGCAGCCTCCCTTCCTCCTCCTCCTCCTCAGCTCAGGGCAATGCCTTGGTGCTGCTAACATCACGCCACATTAAGTAAAGATGAGGTAGGAAACATCAAGTATTGCTGCTGTGGGTCTATGTGTACCTCAGTGCCCAAACCCAAGAGCACACCAACCATCTTTCGAAGGCAGCTATCATAGAATGGTTTGACAGTGGTTTACAGCCTTTTAAGAGCGCTTTTCAATTACATCTCTTTTCCAGTTGTCAGGAATTAACTGGATCCACATGGGTTTTAATTAATGGATTGTGTTATCTGGCGTATCTGAAAAGAAATTTTAAGAAATATCTTTGCAATCTTGGGCTCTCTTGGCTGGGAGCCATAATGAGACCCAGGCTCAATTATACTGGTCACTGAGTTATCAGTGCAATCGTAACTGGAGGCAAACAGACTCCAATCAACGCAAGAGAAACTGGAAGCAAAATAATGATATATTTCACAATCATCTTATTACCGACTGGTTTAAATGAGGGCCTCAGATGGTTTATCAGTGCTGAGTGTGTGTCAAGGTTTCAGCAAGTCTTAATTCACAAGAATTGAAGGTTTATGGAAACTGGCTGCTGAGAAGGGAAAATATGTTCTTCCTTAAATGCATGCAGAAAACAATTTACTATTTTTACTTGCAAATGCTAACAATCCAGCCTACATTTTTATTTTTCTGCTGAGCTCAGGTAGCAGGAAACCACCAGAGTTCTCTGATGAGGTTCCTCTAACATCCAGTTCATTACACCAGTGATGAAGCTGGCTGTGCCATTTCCTTACTGGGTTAAAAAGAACGCAAATTGTATGTGGTACTGACTTCCTTCTTTGGAGAATGTCCCCACATGCTTTAAAATTCATTGTGTCAGAAGCAGTATACAGCATATACCCTTTTCAACTATCGGCTTAAGCTAATTTAATTGGAAAGCCAGCAGTAGATTGGTTTTCACACAGTGTAATCAGAAAACTCTTTTCATAAACACTTTTTGTAATTACTAATATAGTCTATCCTTGTGTTTTTCTATATTTGGTCACTGGAAGCCAAAGTCATGGTGAATTTTGTCTTCAAAGAATAACGGAATTTTTGGAAAGGGACAGTCATAAAACTCTCCTGGTCTAAGAGTATTCACAGCCATATAAACAAGGAAATGGATTTTATAATTAATTCAGATTTCCCTGGCAAGTGCAGTGTGTAACGTGTTGTAATCTACTGATTAAGTTCCAGTAAGAGCACTGGCAGTGGCTTTCTTTGTCAATATCCGTCTTTCAGTAGCACCTGAAAGAACCTCAAATTCTGAGTCTCAGAGCATCTGTAGGAGAACTGTGCTGGTCTGAGCGTTTGGTCCAGGTGGTGCAGCATTAGGGGGTCACTCTGTAGGAAGAAGTTTTGTGTCACCTTTGTGTCCTGTGCGCTTCCCCCTGTGTCCTCATGAGCTGTGCTGTAGAAGCCCCAGTGAAATTGGCCAGTGAGAAGTTAGGGCTGAGTGGGCATCTGATGCCTTCCAGTAAAGCTTTTAATCCAGTAGGGTCCGACTTTGCAGAGTTCTTTGCCATCTATCAGACTATTGGTCATGACTGTTAATTAAATGAAAATGTGAAATAAATCTACAGTGCAGAGATGCAACGTAACCAATTAAATATTCCAGTACAAGGTGCTAATGATAAAATGCGAATGTCACTGAGGACAATCCATATGATGTCAGAATACAAATCCTACCCGATGACACGATGTGCCATTCCCATCATGGGCAGGGAGGAAGAGAGCCGCTGACCCTGAGTGCTTCATGAAGTCAGGAGCTGCAGTAAGGACAGATGGGCACACGCTTGGGGACTTTTTGAAGGCGAAGGAATGGATTTAGAGTTGAGACACTTAAACCATGTATTCTTATTGTCTTAACTCTTGTTGTGTGAACATCTGGCCCTTCCTGAGTGATGGAGCTCTTTGCGTGCAAGCAAAGCATCACAATTCTAAAATGTGGTTGTTTTAGTATAAAAGAACAATATTAAGCAAAGCAAGTCATAAGCAACTAATGACAAATGCTTGAAGCGACTGAGAGATTGCCTTAATCCTTCTGAAGAGTCTGTGCAGTGGGAGGAGGGACTGAGTCTTTAAGTTACTCTTCTCTTGACAAGGTTAAACCAAAAGGACAGCAATAACAAAGCACTCGTGGCTAACTAAAGCAGACTGTAGACAGGTAGTATAGTTTTATTAAAGATTTGACAGTTGGGGGCAGTCCAGAGAATATAAATGGGCAACATAAATAAACTCATTTAAGTTTCAGGAAATCAAAGAAAATATTCAACGATGTTACTTGCAAGAAACAATTTAATGAGCTGTCTTGAGAAAAGCAAATTAGTGAATAATTAGGATCTTATATATGCAAACAATCCCACCTTTTCTACCTATTAAAAAGGTTAATATTCTTTTCTATAGTCTGAACAAATCTATATTTGAAAAAGTAATACTATTCAAAATTATATATTTCAATAGGTTGTGAAACATGTCAGAGAGAAAAATTCAGCACAGCAGTACTTCAGATGTGTACTTTATATACCTCAGATATGTACTTTAGCTTAGTTTGCATGTTGGTGTCTTCTTTCTTCTCTTTAGGTTTTCATTGTATGTTTTGTTCTTTTTTTAAACTTGGGTATTGAGATGTGGATTGCATGGAGGGCTTCATGTTCTTAAAACTCAGGGAAAGAGCAAAAAATGAAGCATGGAATTAAATGTCAGGGTATTGCAGGACACTGGTCTTCGAAATTGTCATGGATACTCAGTCCATGCTAATTTATCTCTTTCCCTTCCCATTATTTTAATATGCACGGATACCACATCCGCTGAGCTACACATTAGCTAATGTCATTCTTGAAACCAGTTTTGCATTCCTTAGATTTTAATAAAATTATACTTTCTCAGCATGCAGCACATCAAATTATATTTAGCAACGTTCTAATTGACTGCAAACCTTCTCCCCCTTCTTTCCAATGAGTCCAAACACTGTATGTGTTTATATACATATGTATGTGCACGTATGTGTAAATAAATCCCAGCACCGGGGATGGGGCAGAAAAAAAGCAATGCTGTGTGTGAGCTGGTACCATGCAGCAGCTGCTGTGAGAGGGAAGTAAAGAAAATCTCAGTGCTCAACAGCAACTTGGTGTCATTTCTGCACAAGCCAAGATGGGTTTGGGTCAGGTGAAGGACAGACTGCTATAGGTGGGATTGTAGTAAGTGGGCTGGAAATCATCTCCCTCCAAAAAAATTGTGTAGGGGGATTAGTGGTTGGAGTTTTCCATGTAGGTGACAGTGGACAATAAATTTATGGATTCTTGGGGCACTCCGATGGGTGCTCCCATGGTGGCCTATGGGGAAGATGCATGTATCCTCCTTGAAGGAGCAGGAGGCAAAATGCACACAGCTGGATTCCACCAGCTCATCAGGTGGAAACAAAGGTGTGCTTGCTTTCTGTCAACATTTTAGTGCAAAAAAATAACCAAGCCAAAGATAAAATTTCTCCAGGCTGTGTTACAGATAGAGAATGGCAGAATAGCTCACCTCGTATTGCACTCGTTGTTGAGAGTTTGTAGACTGTAGGTTGTCTGAGGCTGGTGGCAAGTGATTGATATTCATATGCACATTTTCTATCTGGTTTTGAAATCTTTTTTTTCCTCTAGTGTTCCCTTGAGAATAGCATAACAATGTGCACAGGATTGCGCTATCAGCAAAGGCTGTGCCTTTCCCCCCTGTGTGAGAGCCTTACGCTTTCAGCTGCAGTGGAAGAGTTAAATTTCAGAGAGCTGAAGGATGCTGGACTTTGACAATTAATCATGAACTATTATAATTATTGATACTTACCAGGTGAAAAATGTGCCCAAGACAGAATGATTCCAGTACACAGAAATGTCACAGGATGAGCTGCCGCTGTGTGCTGTCATCCCTGCCATGGACACTTAGATATAGATCCTCAGTGGGACCCGGAGACGTAAATAGCTGCGTGTGGCTGGGATTGGCCTTCGCTCCGCTGGGATGCGCTCACAGGTGAGGGCTGTGACACCAAACCCCACGGTGGGATCCCACCTGTGTGGGAGTGTGAGCGGGTGTGCTGTGCTGGGCCAGTGCCTGCTGTGAAACAAGGTGGCTGTCAACATAACAAAACAGGGGCTTTAACACAACGTGGAGGGGATTCTCTCCTAAAACAACAGGAGATGTTAATGAGCTCTCTCCAAGGGGCTTAACTGGGGATGCTTATAATCTTTTAGTGTGTGATTGTGTCTGTTCTTAAACATGAAAAGACCTTTCAGCATTCAGATGACTGTTTTCCTTCTGATCTGGCCTTCCTCTCTCCCACATGCCAACTTTCAGTGTCTACTGTGCTCCTAGAAAACATGAAGCACTGGAGACTGATTATTCTCAATTAAAGATAAAAATTAAGCAGTGAGAACCACATTATGAAAAAAAAAAATAGAAACAGCAGAAAGAAATCACATCAGTAGCCCCCATATTTTGTGCACGCTGACGGTCTGAGTAAGTAAGAGGTGGTTGCTTACTCAGTGATGCCCGTGAGAAACATCAGAGCGTTGCACGCGGCTGTAACTCGCTCTGTGCGCGCACACACACACACACAGGTGTGCACAGCCGCTCCGTTTCATACCGAGGGGCTCCAACGGCCGTGCACGTGCAGCCCGGGGGGGCTCGAGCCCCTCTCGTGCCGTGGGGGCCGGTGGTGCCCGGGGGGAGGGAGGGGGGGGGAGGGAGGGGGCAGAGCGGGGCCGGGGCGGTGCGGAGGGGCCGGGGCTGTTCGCCGCGCTGCCGCTGGGGGTATCTTTGTACCATTTTTCATCCAGCAGCAATTTGGAGTGGAAACGTGTAATAGGGGGAAAAAAGCAAGGTTCTCGGCGGTATCGGCGAGCCGTGCAGCCAGGAGCCAAAAAAGATTAGCGGCCCCCCCGCAGCCACGCTCACCCCCACTTCCACACGCGCACACAGCACACACACACACAGCACACACGCGCACGTCCTCGCGGCACCGCGCGGCTCCGCGCTCACCCGCCGGACATCGAGCGAAAGGGATTCGTCTGGAGGGCAATTTCGGATCGGGGGAGATCTATTGGATTAGGAGGATTATCTGCCTGCAGACGGAGAGAAGTAGCGTTTGATCATTTCTATTGCTTGCCTGATGGTCGGATTTAAATGGAGGTGGCTCGGCACGGATGAGGCTGAATTCCGGATGGGGATTTCCAGCCCCCCCTCCCCTCGCCCCGATCCGAGGAAAGGGGAGAAAAATATCTCAAAATCGATATAATTCGGAAGCGTCCGGGGCACGATTGGGAAACCTCCAGCTCCCGGCGGCTCGGAAAGAGCCGGAGGAGGCGAATCCGATGAATTACAGTTTCAGAGGAGATTGCAGAAAAGCGGCCGCGAACTGGTAAATACTTTGATGCCGTCGGCGTGAGGGGCGAGCTCGGGCCGGGCTGGGGATGGGTTCCGGGGTCGGGATGGGGGTCGGGATGCGGGAGCCCGGTTGAGCCTGAGGGAGGTGCGGGGCTGAGCCCGAGGTGCGCGTGCCGTGCCCGAGGAGCCGCGCGTTGCTGCAGCCGCCCGGAGAGCGGAGCCTCGAGGGAGGCTGCGAGGAGGAGGAGGAGGAGGAAGAGGAGGAGGGAGGGGGGGGGGGGAATGCGGGGAGATTTGCACGCGCACATCTGCCCCACGCGGCCGCCCCGGCGAACTTTTCCTCCCCGCTGCCCCCAGGGCCGCGCTCCGCAGCTTCCTGCGGCCGCTCGATGCCGGCCGGCTGCGGGCACTGCCTCCTCCGGGCTGCGCCGTGCGGGGGCTGAGCGCTGCTCCCCCCACCCCCACAGCAACACCCCCCCTCCCCTGCTTCCCCCCCCCCCCTTTTCCTGACGGTTGCTCTCGTCTCATCTTGCTGAAGGAAAATCAATTTTCAGCAGGTTTAATTAAAATTAATCAGTCAAATTACTTAATATTAATTGACTTATAATTAAAGCCAGAAAGTTACCTTGGAATCAGCAGAAAGGATATTATCTCAAATCATTTTAAGGATGCGTATGGTTCCAGATCAATTACATTAAAATAATTGTTTAAATAAAGGAAAACAGAGCCTTGTTACGGCGGAGCGTTCTTGCAGCTGCAGGTGACACAGCCTGGACAGGCCGTTTTCTCCCATAAATGTGCTGACCTTTCCAAAGAACAGCATCTCAGTTTGCTTTCTGGAAGGCCACTTTGGTTGAGCTCTAACAACCATGGCGTTAACGACCACTGGTATAAAATGGAAACATCCCCTTATGGATGGTATAAATACCGAAGTGCATGCATTTAGCACTGTGCATTGGAAATAGAGCAGATATTTTGTTTTTATTCCCAGCAGAAGTGTAAGAAATTGTTCTAGGAAATATTTTCTTTTCTACTGCTGACTTCCAGTGTGGCAGTATTTGCAATTGTCCATAACCTCAGTGGGACTGGGTTGCACCGCTGCGTTCCAGAGATCACTCACGTCTGAAAACATGTATTTGTGATAAGGCTCCAAATAACTTTTTTGGGCTCCTTGAATACCTGCATTGCTTTTTATCAGTTTGTTTGCTTGTTTTGTTGTTGTTGCTTTTTAAATTATTATTATTATTATTTTTTATTTGCATACTGTCAGAGCATTTTGGATGCATCTAGACGTTATGCTTGCTGAAGGAGCAACACTGTGAGCTTTGGGAACTTTTCTCTTTTTTTTTTTTCCTGAGCTGGCTTAATCTGAAGCAAAGGATACTTATGAAATTGCATGCACTCTATTACAGGCACCTGACAAGTGCAAGACCAAGCGTGATACAAATGAGCATGTAAAAATAGAGCTCATTACTGAGGGCCCTGATTTTCAGAGATACTGATTCCCATTGACTGCACTGAGACTTGTGTGGGCTCTACAGCTGTAACACACAGCCCACTTTTGCATCTTTGAAATTAGATTTGCAGGGAGCCAAGAGCTAAGTAGCCATGTTTGGAAATACTGCTTGAGTGGTTCTTTCTTTTACTTTTTTTTTCTCTTTTCTTTCCTTCTCCCTGTGGTGTATGATGCATGGGGAAAGAAGGATACTCCTTAGTTACTTCTAATATACAACAACTGTTTTCTTAGGCTACAGCTACAGATTGCAGCAAGGTAGCAAAGAAGCAGTTCTGCAGTAAGTGGTCGAGGTGTCCTTAAACACATACAACAGTTCTCATTTCTTCTGTGTATGTGATATGAACCACATACGGGCTGCAGGGAGAAAAATGAGGCTGAGGATAATCACACTAAGTGTGTGAGGAAGCAGGATTTGGCTGAACACCTCTGTTTTGTCATTAAGTGAAGTAGCAGCGAAGCCATCAGAGAGTGTGCAGGCTGTTTAAGGCAGTACGTTGCGTGGAAGCGAGCAGAGATGTTGTCTTGCTGCTGCTTTGGGTATCTCACCCCTTTCTCTATGTTAGGGTAAGGAGATCTCCTGGCTGTTGGTACTGAAACACCCTTAACAAAGTGGGCTTGCTCAGGATTATTTGGCTGGAGGTGGAGCAGGCTGCTGAGGAGGGTTATTTAAAGACTGGGATGGAGCTGTAGGCTGATAAATTGATTTGCAGATGAATGGAAGATTTGAACACAGTAATGGTGGCAGTTTTATTTTTCATCAGTTTGCATGTTTAATATCCACTGGCACATATACAAGCACAAACCACTGTAATTGTTCAAATGGAGTCTGGGGAAAAGAGGAGAAAGCAGAGGCTTAGACATGGTCTTAGTTTGTAATGGATTGGCGTGCCTTTCTTTATTAAAAGCAAATACACATTCCTTTCTAATAGAGACGTGGAGCTGTATTACAGATCCTTGGCTAGCTTTGAATTATTTGTTTGCTGTCATACTTATTATGTTTTTTTAATCACATGAAAAGGAAACTGTTTAAAAATTAAATAGTGAAAAAGAAGAGCAAAAAGAGACAGACATTCTTTGAAAGCAAATAGTGAAAAGACAATATTTTGCCAGAGATTCAGTAGAAACCTTTGGGTATTTCTTTTAATAAAAGATGGGCAGTAATCAATCTGATCCAGTAAACAATGTAATTTCTTGTTAGTCCCAGAGATCCATCCACGATAAATATAATGGGGAGTGACAAAAATAGATCCTGACTGCTGAATAAATGCTGTTATAAAAGCACATTTCCATTACAGCAGCCCTGCTTCTGAGCTCTGCATCAGGAAGGAATGTGCATGCAGAGAGAGATGGCTCCTCGCAAGCTGCTTGTTGCAGAGGACTTTGTGTGGGAGTGGTGGAGGAGATCAGGGATGTGAAAAAGGGGTTGATGTGCGAACTTCAACAAGTTATATATTGGTTCAGTGTGGATGTTGAAACACATCCTTTTGTTTTAATGACAACTGATGACTTAGCGTTCCCTGGATGACTACTGAATTCTCACAATTACAAGGGGACATCACGTTGGGTTCTTGGTGACTCAGCTGCATGTTTTCACCCCCCTCTGAAGACCCCGCCTTTTTCCAACAAACTTCACTCTCATAATTATGAATAGTTAATGATGTGCTGTTTGTTACCCAAGGAGAACAAGTGCCTAGCTACTGACTTATTACCACAGATGAGGTTTCCCATGCTCCCACTCTAAGACCCCACTTTTTCTTTAAAAGAAGAGAGGTGGTCAGGAGACACCCTGGGTCAGCTGTACATATCCTTCTGGTATTCCAGCCATGTACAGATCTGCACTGCACACCTCAATGTGATTTTTTTTTTTTCCCCACTGCTGTAGGCAAATTATAGATGAGGCCATTAAACGAAGAGCAGTTGGAGCTTCCTTACCCCCATTTGTTGAATTCCTGTATTCTTCTAACATTTTCTGCATAATCAGTTTTAGTGCTGCCTTTGGGTAGTCTGCTTCTTTCCACTGATGCTTGGTTAGGTCTTCTGCACCATTATAAAGGAGAATCTAATGCTTTGAAATTAGCAACACGTGCATGTAAAATCATAAAAATGATCAAGGACACTTTAAAATATTATATTTCAAGTGACTCATATCCTTTTAACCAAGCAGAGAACTTAAATGGCAATGTAAAATATATTTTCTAAATCTGCTCAATCACAACCTGCCTAGAGATGCCATTAACTCACTTGTTGAACTGGTTCTGGGAATTTAATGAGGGGGAATACATTTATGTTGTATCTTGTACTCGTGTTTAATTCCATCTCTCTGAAACTTTCCACTGCAATACCTGACATGCAGATATTTCTTTAACTATCCCCTTCCCAATCCCCTTCACCAGTTTCCAAAAAAAACTCACTTGTAGATGGTGAAGTGTTGGATAGGCACGAAGCATTAGAAATATTCAGGAGGAGAGAACAACTACTTTCAGAGGAGCACTGCTGTAAAACACAGTAAAACAATTTCAGGCTTGTGAAAAATAGGTGTGTGGGGTGGAGCTTTGTTTCTCCGGACTGGTTCTTCCATTGGAGACTGAGCCCCTGAAATAGTCACTGCTGGGTGAGGAAGCTCTTCTGTCACTGGAGTCACGGTCACTGTGACTGGGACGTGGCCACAGGCAGATCTGAGGCTGGGTGTCATAACTTAAAGGAGTGTCTTTCTGGCAGAGAGTGGTAGAGAATGATACTGGGACAAGGAGCTGAATAATAGGAGCTACATGTGAAGTGAGATGGAAAGAGTAAATCTTTGCAGACATTTAATAGTGTTATATTCTAAGCTTTTGGGAAATTTTATTTGAAATTTTTTTACAACGGTAAATATAGTCTGTGCTCTATCTTATTTCTATTTCGCGTGAGAGAAAAATTCCCCATCTATGGCACAACACTTTACTGCTACCATTACTGCAGACTTTATAGATCAGAGATGTGTCAGCATGTTAGCTTTAGCTGTAATGCTTTTTTTGTGTGAAACCTTATGGGCCTTGCAGCCACTTTCTCATACTGACACTCATAAAACGTTCAAGTTCTCATATTTATTATTTAATTTGCTTCCTATATAAAGCAACAGAGCACTTCAATACATGAATGTGAAGCTAAAAATGACAGGCAGGCATGAATGGGACTAATGAGTTTTAATAATGCACATATTAGAAACCGCTAAAGGAAGTTTAATTAAGAAAAACAAGTTAAGCATGAAATTCATTTTGGAAGAAATACAAGTAAAGTCACAGATGTACAGAATGCTCCATCACAGGAAATGGACTCTCAAGTTGATGGATCCCTATGATGCCAATATTGCACTCCAAATGTAGTGTGCACTCCACAGCTCTGTAAGCATGGTAACGCCATTCAAGAGCACTTTTGAACTTGAGTTAGAGATACTGGGTTTATGATTAACAAATTATATTTGTACCTCTGTGGTTTTTATAATGGGTTGGAAGTTGATCTCGATTGCACTGATGGAATTG